TAGGAGTACAATATATAGGACTGTCCCAATGCTAGTCTTTTACCTGAGATTAGATGCATAATATAATGTTAAAAATATAAATTTAGGAGGATAAGCTTCAATAAATTGAACAGTGACATTGCCTTTCTCAATTTAATGATGCAAAACAGTGAAGTAGATCAGTGTAAATCAGAAAGTAAGTTAACTTCAGTATTGCGTATTTGCAAAATAATCTTTATATGAAAAACAGCATAGTTAATTCATGAAATTCTGTTGTCTTTTGGTTTTAACACAACCCCAGGATCTTTAGTAATCCCCACATTCCCCTCAAGCCCCCAGCTCTGGAGGCATCCAATTAATAGTATTTAAAATGTAATGTACTCATCTGTTTCCTGCTTAGCCTTCCTCATTTAGTCTCTTGCATGATTTCTGCATGTTGTTGCATCATATACAGTAATAAACACATGGAGTCACTCAGTGTTTTTCTTTCTGATGTTCTGTTTTAAGTGCTTATATACATTTCAGATAAAGAGAAGCTGACTAAATAAATAAGGAGTACAGTGACAGTATGGAATGATCTTTGATCAGACCAGTGGCACCTCCAGATTTCCAGTCCAGTTTTAATGTGTTCTGTATCTTTGCACAAACCGGCCTTACATCAGGCTTTCTTTAAAAAAGAAAAAAAAAGTCAACTGTTTCAACAAAAATATTTACAAAAGCAAGACTTCTCATATTTAAAGCCAAAAATTCTAGTTATCATAACATTTTATTTGGTTTTGTTTGTGAACAAAAACAGGTTATTATAAATGACTAAAACTGATGAATGAATAAAGTCATAATATGAGATTAAAGTTGTAATATTACAAGAATAAAGTGAGAAAATTGCAAGATTAAAGTTACAACAAGAATACAGTAATATCAGAATAAAGTCATAATACTGAGAAGAATGAATATTTGATCCCAAAGGAAAATTACAGATTCAAGTCATAATTTTATTCCCATAAGAAATTTTAAAAAACCTCGTAGTTTGACCATAATACTCAATCGTATGAACCACTGTGAAAATTCTGAGATGCCATTTGGGGAGAGGGTCCTGAAGAAGGGCGGACCGCCAGGGGCAGTCCTGGGCTGTGGGTGGGCTCGGGGCTTGGACGGTTGCCGGGGGCGGGGCTGGCTCTCCGTCCTCCCTGGTGCTGCTTGGTCTCCTGAGGTGTGGCTCTTGGTTCCAGTGGGTGGCCCGCTGGCCGGGGTGGTTGCTGGGTTTCGGGGGGTGGACGGCTGGGGGGGTGCACTTGGTCGTTGGCGGTGTGGTGGGGTGGTCATGGGTGTGGCTTCTCTGCGGCGGGGGGCTGGCCGGGCGTCCTGGTGCAGCCCGGGCCGGGCCTTGGCTATCTGCTCCTCTCCACCTCAGAATGATTGGATCTACCTCCTGGGTTCGGGTGTGTGCTGCCTCCAATAGGGGGTGGGTGCATGTCCTGGACCTGGGGGGTATAGAATGTGTATCGGGGGAATGAGTGGAATGTGGCGTCCTTGTATGTCTTTGATTGAGTGGGGGTGAGGATGTTAGTGGGATGGTGCGATTGTGTATGTTTGGGTATTTGTCAGGCTGCGGTCTGGGCTGCCCCTACTGCTGGTTTATCTGGGGGCCCGCTGCTGCTCGGCCCCCCGGTGGGGTGTGCGGTTGGCCGCCGGCGTGCTGGGGGTTCCCGGGGTCTGGGTCTGGGCGCTGGGGTGGGTACCGGCCTGGCCTGGTGACTGCCTGCTGGGGCTCGGGGCCTCTGGACCTGTCGGGTTTTGGCCTGGAGGGGGTGCGCCCTGGGGGCCCTGACCTCTGTGCCCTTTCCTGGATCTGCTCTGGTATGGCGGGTGCCGGTGGGGCCCATGAGTTTGTCGCTGCTGGCCCCGGGGGCTGTGCGTGTGGTCGCTGGGGGGACTCTCCCAGTTCTCCCCTATGGTCTGATCTGGGGGGTGGGTGGGCGGATCTTCCCGTGCAGGTGCCCCTTGGGGCTCTGCACTCAGGATTCCTCTCGGGCCCTTGGGCTCTGGTCTTCCCTATGTCTGCCTCGTGTCTTGGGGGTTGGGTCTCGGTCCTCCACAGTCACTATTAAATATTCCATTGGAGAAATCTTGTATATACACGCATGTTCACAACTGCTCACAGACAGGTGTTCTGATCCAGGGGTTCTGACTGGTCACTGAGTGTGTATATATGTCTGTGTGTATATACTGACAATATTTATGAATATAGGCATGTATGTATGTATATCTTTATATATGTATGGGTATGTGTATATTTTTATATATGCCCTCCATGTATTTATCCATTTATTTTTCAGGTGAGTGGACAGATGTTGGGTGTGTGGTCCTGTGTTTTGTTGGTGTATATTTAATATACTTCTAATCGCTATTTCAATCTTTCTATCTTTCTAATCACTTCTCTGTTTTTCTCTCTGTCTCTATTTTCTCTTCACTTAAAAAAAGTCACTGATGATGAAGAAATAAACTAAATAAACTAATATTTAGTTTCGTTTTCTACTGAAGTGACAAAAAAAATTCTGAGATTAGAGACACTTTAGGACTGTTGGGATTTACTCTGGTCTGAGTCACCTTCAGATTAGCTCATCAATTATGAAAAATAAACTGTTTTTATCTACAACATGTAAGATGTTTACTATTCCTTTAACGGAAGCAACATCAAGATGTCCTTTTAAATTTAGAAAATACTTTTAGCAGTTTTACACTAAATATTGATTTCCTATTAGTGCCAAACTCATTAATGGACTCTGAATCAAAGACTTCATTTGACTCCTAAAACTTAAGTAAAGTCATCAATAAAGAGCTTTTTATTTCAACCGTTTCAGAAATTAGGAGCGAGTCTGTAAATAGAAAATTTGTCGTTTAATCCAACATAATTGTGACTGAATTACAAGTAATCTCATGGAAATAAATCACCAAGCTGACAGACAGGATGCTTCATACAGGTATATATATTACAATGTGCCTTGGTAATATAATACAGTCAGGTTTTGTTTTTAATAAAAATAAGCACTGGAGGAGAAAGTGATACTTTTTTGATTTTATTGTAAATTAGAAGACAATATGCACATTTTTTTAGCGACTCATGTCTTGTTAACGAAGCTTGTTAGGTGGTCAGAACTCTCTGCGCTGAATGAGAGTCCAGAAAGGCGAGGAGCGCTGAGAATCTCACAGACAGGACAGACGGTGAGGGAAGTACCAAAACAAGAGAACAAGAACAAGGAGTGGCTGTCGATTGTGCCAGAAATACCAGTCAGTGAAGACTTTTCATTGAAGAGCGTGTTTATATTTGACTGAGCCGTGAGCTGGTGGGACTTGTTGGATCAAGCTGTAATATTTGACCTCTTTTTGTAAACGGAGACAAAAATTCTCCCAAAAATGTTTTGTTTTTACCACAATCGAAAATCCAAACTGTTTTTTTTTTCCATTGGGTCAAAATGAAGATGTGGTCTCACTGACAACAGATATTGCACAGGTGGTCGTGTACGGTTGCTGCATACAGGTGTTTTATTATTCCTATGTATTCCAATGTTTTTTGATTTTTTTCCCCCCAAAATATAATAACCTTTATTTTCATAGATCCAATATACAAAAGAGTTAACAGTGAGTGGAAAGAAAGACGTGATGTCTGAGACCAAACCTTTCTTTGCCCATTTGCTCTAATCATTGTACAAAGACGATACAACTATCCAGTCATGCAACATTGTTTGGGAGGGGAAAGGGGGTCAGGGTGATCTGTCTGTACTCTTCTCTGCTGTTTAGGCGTTTTGCATCTCCTTTCCAATCTTGTAGCTCAGGATCTTGTTCCAATCAATCTTGGTGCGAGTCACAGGAAGCTGGCGGCGTAAGGCTTTGAAGGTAGTGTCCGACATGGTCTGGTAATTCTCGTTGATGGCCGTCTGAAAGGAACAGAGAAAGAAATTCTTATTTCTGGAAAAGGGCAGAATGTTTCCCAACTAAAAGTTAAACTCAATTGTTCTGAGCAGTAAGGTGACAAATGAACATATGATGGTTGTGTTTTCTGAGCCTGATCTGACAAATTCAGCAGTTTGACTCGCGTCTACAGGCAGAACAATTACCCCACATTTTTATGAAAAAGTGACGCATTTTCTCACTAAAAAGAGATGAGTACGGTCTTCTTCACACTGGGCGATGACCCCACAACCATGAAAAATAATGGTTATTATTATTATAATTATGTGATGGTAGTATGTGTATCATGACATGGAGCTGGCTCACACTGGAGTGTCTTGGTCCAGGTTATGACCCCTTCACACCCCACATGGTGCTGGCACCACTACAAGTCAGTTAAGGTGGTCTCTGGCTGAGCTGCAACTAGCCGATGGACATAATTCTTAACCGTAGGGGTGTTTTCAGAATGTCTTACAGCCATCAGGGATTCTCAGTTTGTTTTGTCGTTTGAGCGTTAAAAATGTTCAAAATGTTTGTGCAACAAGTTTTCTCTTAAAATAGTCCTGAGTCATTGTGGGTGTCTGAGATGTGTCAAGAGCTACAGAGCYGTAATTTGACACTTCCACTGAGGCTTTCCTCTGACAGAAAATATATCTAGGTCTAAAAACCATTCCAGTAATAAATGATCAATATTTGAGAGCTGGTACCCATCTGCCTCTCTTCTTTTTTAACATGTACTCTTCACACCTGATAGTCCAATAGACTCGGTTCGATTGGCGACCAAAAATGTAATATTTGTTTAAATTTTCAGTGGGCGTGGTTCACTTTCACACAGCTCTTTGTCAAACGAACTAAACCCTTTGAGCGACCTGTTCGCCCCCTCACCTGTGGTGGCGCTGCACCAAGAACCATTGAAGGAAACAACCTCTGAAGACACTGAGCGCAACTTCCTTTTTCACAAACATGGAGTAACGTCTGACTTTAGTGGCTGTAGGATTTTTATTTTGTTTTTCTTCAACGAGCTCAGCATGAGTGGAAGATGAGGCAGAACTATTAAGGATGTGTTTTTCGGTGGCTCCAAATGACAGTGTGAACCCGAACCAGACTTTCTAAGCAAACAAAGCTCACGGGGCTTGATAAAGTGTGATATATATATATCATCTTCCACAGCATATATATATATATAGCATCGGCTAGTTGCAGATATATATATATATATATATCATCTTCCACAGCATATATATATATAGCATCGGCTAGTTGCAGATATATATATATATATATATATATATATATATATATATATATATATATATATATATATATACACACACACACAGTTCAGTCTATTTACCATTTATTGCAAACCTCCCACCACATGGCTGCTATGACTAATTTACACTTCCCACTAGTGCTGGGCAGGTTTTTATTTTTGTTATGATATGAATTTTATGAATACCGACATACCGGTTTAAATAGCCTGAACATGTTCGGAACGCTTCGTCGTGGCCGCCAGTGAACTGTTTCCTGGGGGACACTTTTCCTCGTAGCACCGCTACATGCGTTAGCATGCTAATGTTATTGTTGAGCAGCTTGTTGTAGCGGTGGGTAGCGATTCTGCTGCTTATATTGACTGACGTTAAAAAAACATCCTGTTTTCACCATCGCTGAATGTAATGAACACCTCTTCAGTGACATACACGGTTAGCTTAAACACGCGACGTTAATGTGGAGACGTATGGAGACTTTAGTGTGGTTCTATTGTGAAAAGCCCGGGGGAAGTAGTTTTGTAGTGGAGTTGAGTTGACTGGTGTGCATGGTGAGTTGTCCTGTTAATCTTTGTTAAATAACATAAAACAAAAGAACCGATAATCTTTTCTTAACCCTCCTCCTTCACGACTAGACCAAAATGACTACAGTCTCCAACCACCAGTCAGAGAAAAGACACATAGAGGAGGGAAACAGCAACACAGACAGAGGTACAGTAAAAGAAAAAAGTCAACAAGCAGTGTTTGTACATTTTACTATCAGCTGGTCTGTGATGAAAAGAAAAATACAGTGAAATACCGTGAAACCGGTGTAAATGTTGAAAATACCGTGATATAAAATTTTGGTCATACCGCCAAGCTCTACTTCCCACAAAACAATAAATGCTGCACAGATGTTCTGTTTTCACCTTTCAAACACAAAGCAAGAAGAAAACAATGGTCAGGTCTGCTGAGAGGACAGAAAAAGACAAAAGCACAGAAACCCTTCATGCTGCTGAATGGTTCCTCCTTCACAGCAAGGCTAAAACTGATGCTGATCCATCAGCAGAGATTCACAGACCCTGACGGGGGTCTGGGTCTACATAGGAGCAAACAGCTGATGTATAAAGCACAGAGAGGGTGCAGGAGAGCGCTGCAAGCCTATCGTCCAGCGTGGAGGGGGTCCACCCCAAACTCAATAAGATGCATCAGTTTTCTTGAACACATCACTTCAACACAATTCATTAACATTTACAGAATAAGGTCAAAAGGTCGAGGTGACGGTTCAGTTTCCCACCACTTCATGTTCTGACATACCTGATAGTCGTTCTCTGCAGCCTCCATGATCTTAACAAACTCCTTAGCAGTTGAAGCCTCATTCTACAAAATCGACAAGATATTCATGTTTTAGAAAAGGAAAGAGGAAGATTCAGAGTACGTCAACTACCACCTTAAAACTGTAAATATTATTTTAAAAAGTTGACATCGTGGTAGTATTTGTTGACAACATGAACTTTACTAATGTTGAACAATGATCCAGAGGTGCAGCCACCTTCAAACAGGATCGGATTTTGTGAGGTGTGATGGAGCAAACCTGTGTGGAGTTCTACTCACAGAAATGGACATGGACTCCTGGACCTCCTTGTGGCTCACCAGCTGAACGTTTCCATCCTCATAGTAATGAACCTACAGAGACAAAGGTCTTTAAATCAGGACAATTACAACTATAATGGAAAAAACAAAGAATAAATACTATGTCACAGTTCAGTATTATTATCATTCTACTCCAGGATCATTGGGCCTCATGCAAGAACATGTTCGTACTCTTATCCTAAATTTCTTACTTTTGTTCGTACAAAGGGTTCGTACGAACATGTCACGTCAGATTCAACAAACTCTTCTATCTTCAGGAAAAGTGTGTAAATGAGCTGCGTAAATTCCACCTGTTCGTATCCAGCTGCTCGTGCACGAGGAGAGGTTATTTACATAATTACCACTCCAAAAACACCATATAAGGATATGTTTCCTGCCTCACTTACCAGGAAGTGTCCATTTATACATGACATTGCAAAGTAAAAAAGAAGAACTTTACGAGTTCAGAGATTGTAGTCCTGCTCTCTGAGATCGAGAACAAAAATTGTTCTCTTTAGCAGCGTCAGCTGTGGAATTAAAGGAGCTGCTTAAAGGAATGAAATGTGCTGTTAATGTCGTGTCTCCTGTGGGTCGTTACAGTCATAGAAATAAAAATCTAAATCATATTCATCTCTCTCTAGTCCAGCTCCGGTTTTTCTTTGGTCAAATATTTTTAGTTTAAGTGTAAACAACTGTGTTACACAGTTTTCACACACACACCCTCACCCCACCCCCCGCCGTCGCCCCCCTCCCTGCGGTCACAAGTAACAGATGTGGTTCTGAAAAGACACATTTTAAAACGTCTCCAAACTTAATGCATAATTTAAGTTGTTTTTTAGTTTGTGATCTTCATATTAATATTGTAATGTTATAGACAATTTAACTTAATCTAATCAATTTATGTCGTTAAAATCTAATTCCAGGTCAAACAGAATAGCCTCTAGCCAACATAATTATGGAGTGTGATTTATTTTCAACTCTAAATATTTTCTAAATAATGAAATATAAAGTTATTAGTGAGGAAAACCCGTCTGGATAACAGCAGACTGACTGCTCGCAAAATATACGACAAGTCTGGACCACACATGAATTTTGTTCGTATCTGAAAAAAACCTTAGAATACGAAAACATTGGTGAATGCCACAAATTCTCCTAAATCACTCGTACGCACAATTTAAGAACAAATCTGTGTGTACGAACTTGCATGAGGCCCATTGTGAGTTCATAAACTGAGTACACAGCAAAACAATGAAACTTTATTTGAACTGGTTCATGATGCTGTTTTTAAATTGCTTCCACAAAAGCAAAACACCTTCCTCTAGTCCTTCTTAAAAAAAAAGTCTCAAAGTAGAGATGTGGACTCGTGACTCTGACTTAAGACTTGAGTCACACTTAAGTCCCTACTATTAGAGACTTAGACTTGACTTGGACTCGTGGTTTGAGACTCGCGAACATTGCAAGTCTTTTCACTGCCTGACTCACGATTCTCACTTCAATACACATCCATACTCCACTCCACCTCGCCTGAGAATGGGAGGGGCCAACGCTGTCCAATGTTAATGACATGTACACTACGTGACAAACAAAGCTTCAGCATGGCAGGTGTGTTGCAGCTAGCAGCTCTGCTACCATCCATTATAAGCTTTGCTTACAGAGACTTTATTCAACGCCATGACAAGAGACTGGCAAAATGTAAAGTGTGTGGAGACCAAATCCAAAGTTTGTTTTTGTGATAACTTGTGCAGCCCTTGCTCTTTAAAGATTCTGGTTCTTCATCTTCGCTGACATGCTTTTATGCATTTAAACATATTTTATCTAGTATTTTATTGTAAAATCAGCAGCAGATTTGTTGGATTTGTTCTTTGTCAATGAAAGGATATAATTGCAGTGTGCTTTTGTAAAATTACAAGTGCAAAATACAGTTAACAATACTCTAAATGCTTGGTTGTTGTTATTTCAACCTTAACCTTATTTGAATTTTTAAAACAGTATTATGTTTTAGTAGTAGTATTAAAAAATACTACTACGTTTTAATACTTGATTAAAATATAGTACTATAGAATATAATCTAGTTTAGTTAGAATACCTTTGATCAAACTGACAGTTAAGTAAATACATGCAACGAGACTTGGACTTGAGGTCAAGAGACTTGAGACTTGACTTGAACTTGCACACATCTCTGTCTCAAACATCTCATAAATAATACTCTGAATCACCTAAGTGTATAAAATGAACTAAAATAATTATTGCTCTTTATTATACTGCAGCCTAACCCAGTACAAGTTTTCTTTCATTCACATTTTGAGGAGTTCAAAGTTCACTCAGTATTTTACACAACTGTTCATCGTTTTATTGTGTATATTTTATTTACATATTTTCTCCATCTCCAAATATAAGCAATTTCACTCAGAAGCCTATAGCTGTTGTTGGTCTTTCCAAAAATAACTGCTTAGCTTTTGATGGATTTCTTTTAAAAGTATCTGTTTTCACAGTTTCGACTTTTATTTGGAAACCGCAAAGTAATCAGAGCAACACAATCTGGAGGTAGCAGGTTTGGCGTCTCTCCCACCTCACAGAACTGGTCACAGGAACATGTTCAGACGTTTAGTGTCCGATCTTTATGAGGCGATTGTGCTGTGTTATGATACACTGGAAATGGCACACTGGGAGCTGATGCTGCTCCCAGGTGTTCCAGTTGTGCATTACAGTTACAAAAACATTTGTGGTTCTTTATGGTGAGAGACGTTTATTAAAAACTGTGTATGATGTGTCAACAATAAAAACACGTTGACCTTTTTATTGTCGTCTACAGCAGTGGTTCCCAAACTTTTTATCTTCTGACCCACAAAATATCCATGGCAAAAACTTGTGACCCCAAATATTACTGCTCTGAGGACACGAACTTCATTAATAACCCTAAAAACACAGGCTTTTTGACAATCTAAACAGCTTGTACACAAATATAAATACTTATTTATACTTATTTTGTGTTTTTGTAATAATTATAGGGAAAATATTACAGCAGCAATTATTTTATTACCCTTTAAATTAGTTTCTGGAGATTATCAAAGGTGCTTTGTGACCCATAATTGGGTCCCAAGCCCAACTTTAGGAACCAAAGTGCAGTGGTTCCCAAACTTTTCAGCTTTTGACCCACAAAATAACAGTAGCAGAGACATGTGCCCCCAGCTATTTTTGGATGAAAAACATTTGTATCAGGTCAACTAAACATGGGCATAGTAACAATATTTTTATACTACATTTATTCATTTTAAATATACTAACCTCACTCCTTTGTAACAACAAAGGCAAAAACGTAATTAATTCAGAAAATATTTTCGGGACCCCACCTTGATGTTTCGGGACCCCACTTTGGGTCCCGACCCCAACTTTGGGAAACACTGGTCTACAGTGACTAATTGTTGCAGCGTTCAACTATTTTGTACCTCAACAGTGTCTACTAAAATGTTTTAATGGACAAAAATTGGAGAAAGCATCTCCCAGATTAAAAAATAAAACTTCTGATCCATCAGACAGAACTGCATCAGCTGAGAGAATCAAGAAACCTTTGTCTGCCACTGACTAAATCTGATTAAACTGTCAGGGGAGTTTGAGGCGGCTGTGCTAAAACAATCCCACCCACTTTTTTTGTGGTACTCAAGTTAAATGGAAAACCTTCAGGACTGTGTGGACCTGAGTAGAGTCAAAGAGAGTCCGAGGAAAACGACTTTACTGCATAACCAGACATGTTGAAAGTTACTCAACATTGCACTAAATTTCTATGAAGTCTTTAAACAAATAATCCCATGCAGCAGATAATCCCATGTGTCGATCTTCTCACAGAGCATGAGATTCAAACTAAATACCTGGATTTTCATGATTCCTGCCACTTGAGTGGTGGAGGGGGAGACGGTAAACTTCCATTCTGACCTCCAGCGTCCATTCCTGAGCAAAAACGCAGAGACAAAGAGACTGTGGTTACATCTGCTACAGTCTGACTGAACAAGTCTTTCTTCTTTAATATACAAACAAACCTCCAATTTAGACCAGCTGAGCCTTGATGTGTACAGAGGGACTACCAATAAACAGGTTTGTGACAGAAAATAAAATTTATTTTCAACATGTTTGCTTAGGTGAACTAAAAGACATAAAGTAGAATTTTGTTTATGAGATGTGAGGAACTGTACCAGGTTTCTGGTTGAGTTCTACTGTGTTCTGTTTTATGTTTACATCATGATCTCCAGCTCATCCTGGGGAACCTCAAGGTGTTCCCAGGCCAGAGAGGATACATAATCCCTCCAGTGAGTCCTGGGTCTTCCCCAGGGTCTCCTACCAGTGGGACGTGTCCGGAACACCTCTAAAGGGAGGCGTCCTAATCAGATGAACCTTTCAACGTGGAGCAGCAGCTCTACTCCAAGCTTCCCCCGGATGACAGAGCTCCTCACACTACCTCTAAGGTTGAACCTGGCCACCCTGGGAAGGAAACTCATTTCAGCCACTTGTGTCCAGGATCGTGTTCTTTTGGTCATGGTCCACGCCTCATGATAACAGGTGAGGGTTGGAATGAAGACAGACCAGTAAATCAAGAACTTCGTCTCTGACTCAGCTCTTTACTCACCAGGACTGACTGTAGCAACACCCTCATTACTGAGGACGAGGATCCACTCTGTTGATCAATCTCCTGCTCCAGCCTACCAACACTGGTGAACAAGACACCCAGATACTTAAACTCCTCCACTTGAGGTAGAGACTCTCCCCCGATCCAGAGGGGGCATTTCACCCTTTTCCAGTAGACAACCATGCCCTCAGGCTTAGAGGAACTGACCTTCATCCCAGCTGCTTCACACTCGGCTGAGAACCGCCTCAGTGTACAATGAAGGTCTTAGCCCGAAGACGACAACAGAACCACATCATCTGCATACAGCAGAGATGAGACCCTGAGGTTCCCAAACCAGACACCCTCTTCATGATGAAACCAGGAATTAATTCAGTTCTCTTCAAAGGTTCAAGGTAATGTTAAAAAGACAGATCTAACAAAGATGGATGTCTGTTCATGATGAGCATGAGTTATGTTACTGATGAATTTTCAGCCATCTAGTCTTAAAATTACAGGACATTTTAGACCAACATGTTCCCCAGGGAGGAGGGGTTGCAGTCATTGGGTCTAGTATGCTCCACCCAAAGCCTAACAATCTACATCAGGGGTGCCCAAACATGTTCCCTGAGAGGGCCAAAATTAAAATCATTCTGAGGGCCGTGGGCCAAATGCAGTAATATAGTACATGAAATGCAAATACTGACATTTGTGTTACTGAAGTTGTTTTACTTTTTATAATTAAGCTAGCAGCCAGTGCAGTTGCTCACATTCTTTTGTTTGTTTGTTTTCAGCCCATGGACATGGAGAAATTTCAACGTATGCTCAGACAGCAAAGGCTCATGGGACTTTTCATAATTTTAAATGAGTATATGGGGTCTTATAAAGGTGTGCAAATCTAGATATGGGCTTAAATTTAATCCAAATGTCTCTTGTAGTTACTTATATTTTATATTTAATCTTAACATAATTCAAATATAAAATGAGTACCATGAGTTAAGACTGACTACAGCTCCTAGTACGTATAATTGGACCAATGGTTGAAAAGACTAAGTGGAAATATAGTGTTTCTACATAAGACAGGAGATTACAATCTAGGAACCAGGACAACTGCTGGTGGGCCAAATCAAATGGCTTGGTGGGGCAACTTTGGCCCACGGGCCACACTTTGGGCACCTCTGGTCTACATGCAGTCACATGGTGGCTCGACATTTTCGCACACACCTTTCATAGTCTATCGTGCTGAGCGGTATACAACAGTGTGGGGTTTGTTCTTGCTAGAATTTATGCTCCAAAAAAGAACTGTGACTAGTCAACCAACGACCACAACCAACGAATGGCAGTCGTTGGTTGGCTGGTTGCAGTCGTTGGTTGGCTGGTTGCAGTCGTTGGCTGGCTGGTTGCAGTCGTTGGCTGGCTGGTTGCAGTCGTTGGCTGGCTGGTTGCAGTCGTTGGCTGGCTGGTTGCAGTCG